AAATGCATTCTGACCAATAGCGTGGCAGCAGCTCATCTCAGAAATGCATTCTGACCAATAGCATGGCAGCAGCTCATCTCAGAAATACATTCTGACCAATAGCATGGCAGCAGCTCATCTCAAAAATGCATTCTGACCAATAGCAAGGCAGCAGCTCATCTCAGAAATACATTCTGACCAATAGCATGGCAGCAGCTCATCTCAGAAATACATTCTGACCAATAGCATGGCAGCAGCTCATCTCAAAAATGCATTCTGACCAATAGCATGGCAGCAGCTCATCTCAGAAATACATTCTGACCAATAGCATGGCAGCAGCTCATCTCAGAAATACATTCTGACCAATAGCATGGCAGCAGCTCATCTCAGAAATAGCAGTCTGACCAATAGCATGGCAGCAGCTCATCTCAAAATAGCAGTCTGACCAATAGCATGGCAGCAGCTCATCTCAGAAATACATTCTGACCAATAGCATGGCAGCAGCTCATCTCAGAAATGCATTCTGACCAATAGCATGGCAGCAGCTCATCTCAAAAATGCATTCTGACCAATAGCATGGCAGCAGCTCATCTCAGAAATACATTCTGACCAATAGCATGGCAGCAGCTCATCTCAAAAATGCATTCTTACCAATAGCATGGCAGCAGCTCATCTCAGAAATACATTCTGACCAATAGCGTGGCAGCAGCTCATCTCAAAAAAGCATTCTTACCAATAGCATGGCAGCAGCTCATCTCAAAAATGCATTCTGACCAATAGCATGGCAGCAGCTCATCTCAAAATAGCATTCTGACCAATAGCATGGCAGCAGCTCATCTCAAAATAGCATTCTGACCAATAGCATGGCAGCAGCTCATCTCAAAAAAGCATTCTAACCAATAGTATGCCAGCAGCTCATCTCAGAAATGCATTCTGACAAATAGCGTGGCAGCAGCTCATCTCAGAAATACATTCTGACCAATAGCATGGCAGCAGCTCATCTCAGAAATGCATTCTGACCAATAGCGTGGCAGAAGCTCATCTCAAAAATGCATTCTGACCAATAGCATGGCAGCAGCTCATCTCAG